AGTAGCAAAATTCCGAAAGTTTACTTGTTCCAATACGCTACCTAAAACACCAAATGATATCTTGCACTTTAATCACGTTCTCATCTTCCTCACGTTTAGTGAGTATCATGAATTGTCCATCTGTTCAATAGAGAAAGACTATTTTCCATGAAAAGAAATCGTTTTCAGAGTAACACAAAGAAGTTGCAACAAAGCGATTCGTCGATGCAATCGCAACGTTACATCGCATTCTTAACAATCACTTTCCTGCTCTTCTTCCTCATTCCTTTATGTGCTTCTTCAGCACTCTACTACAGTGTCGCTGAGCACATCAAAAAGAAGCAACAAGTGAAAAGTTTTTCGTTGAATCTCTACTCGCATATGATTTCGAACAATACCACCAGCAATTATGCTAGTATGAGCAACGGCAATAACGCACATGATGGAAATATCACCAATAATGCTGATAAGAATGATCACAAACAGAAATCAACGATAGCTCCATGGACTCCAGCGACGCATCACATTTCGAAGGTTTTTCTCACGATCAGTTGAAATTATTGTTCAGTTCAAAAATTTTCAATTTTCGAAGAAATTTTGTCTGGATATCTGCAGAAATCACTCATACAGTTGCTTGAAATGCCTGGCGCGATCAAGTTATCCACCTGGGCAAATCATTTTGATTTCGGCACCCTGGCGAAATTTGATCAATGATAGCAATGAACTTCGAAGCTCTAGGCTCTATTATGGTGTGCACAACAGTGCAACTGAATTTAGTCCATTTCAGGACTAGATGTGTCCATCAAGAGGTTCTTGGCGAAAACTGTTCTTTGGTTCTGATCATCTGCCCAGAAATTTAAATTCATGCGAATGCGGAGGAGGGGGATGTGTATTCAATGATGGACAATTCCATCGAAGCAAAATTTCCGTTCGAAAAGATAACGTTGATAAATGGAATATCCTGGCAAAAAATAACGTTAAAAATAGAAAGTGCTAAGTGAAAATCGTTTCAATAATGAAGAAATAATATTGAAAGTAAATACGTTTTACAGGTATGTCTGAGTTGTCTGCTAGTGACGGCTGTTCCATATTTACCATATGCGTTGATCTGTTTGAATCCATTTGATGCGGATACGACCAGGATTAATTTGATAGCAATACCGCTGTTAAGTGCTCGATTCAGTGCTTTGCTAGCACCGTTCACGTTCATTTGGTAAATAATTTATCATTTCAGTGATTTCATTTCATTAAGAATAACTTTCCATTAAGAACTTAGAGAGCTTAATTAAGAACTTAGAGAGCTTAGCTTAACTTGATAGACTTAGACAGCCTACTTTTTGGTGAGTTTATAGATGAGACACATATATCAGCGATGGATGAATGAAACTCGATTGGGACTCATTTAGGATTACGCACAAACTCGTAACTGCGAAGAGAATGTAAAAAAAATTCCTCTCTGAAAAACTTTGTTGCTTAAGAATTTAAGCAATGTCCCTCTAATGGAATTCGTTTAAAAACAAATGGAAATTGCTTTAGGGTAAGATTCTGAATTCGCGTATAAATCCAAGCAAAAAAATGTTTAGTGAATAATATCGGAAACAGTCTGTCCCGTCGCTCTCCTCTTCTTCAATCTCCACTCTTGCCCTTTCAGCACGATCGTCTTGAATATTCTTTCCCCAATAAAGTGAAAATAACGTATCGTTCCATCATTTCAATCTTCAGTGTATTCAATTGAGGTTTTGTGTTCTGAGAATATGCCCGAAACTGTATCGCTCATCAAATTAGTCATTTGTTTAGAAGCAAACACTTCAGGATCAACGGGTTATTGCGTAATTCATCGAAATTACGATATGATGATNAATAAAGTGAAAATAACGTATCGTTCCATCATTTCAATCTTCAGTGTATTCAATTGAGGTTTTGTGTTCTGAGAATATGTTCAAACTGTATCGCTCATCAAATTAGTCAGTTGTTCAGAAACAAACACTTCAGGATCAACGGGTTATTGCGTAATTCATCGAAATTACGATATGATGATAAAATGTTACTGCTGGCGAGACCACAACCTATTGCAACATATCAAGCAATTGCGGCAGTTGCTGAAGTTCCTTCGATGTCCTATCGAATTCTCACTCCAGTAGCGCCACGTCGTAAATTACCGCAGATACCAGTCGGGTCGATACCATACGATCTCGCGATATGATCATATCAACACTAGACAATCGACCCAATTACTGATCAAACTGTGAAAGTGATATGAATTTGCAATTGATGCGAATATGTAAATATGATTACTGTTGATGCCGATGCTTTTGTACTGTAATATGATATGATAAAGGTACTCGCCGACCTACGACTATAATCAGGATCCGAATGTTGCCGAGCAATTTTACTTAGATGATGAGATATTGCTATTTTCTCAATGATATACGGTTTGCTATCTTCGATCCTATCGTATCCTCAAGTTTACCTGTCAACATATCAATATTTGTACACTAATCGATCCAGCTGAATCTCTAGATTCAGAAAAAAACACATATTTTGCCGAGCGATTTTGCTTTCTCGAGGAGATATAGCTATTTTTCTAAAGCCATCTCAATTAATGCAGAGTACTCTTATCGTTCATGTACTTCTGATCACTGTAGATAAATACATGCATTACACTATCCATTGATTTCTGGTGGAACAGTAAACAATAATTATTCGTGAACTCGGAATGACTGGTGTGTAATTCGACGTGATTGTATCACAAAAGGGAATGAACTTATAAATATTATCGCAATGGTTCTACTCCACGGCAGTGGGTCTCTTAACTCAACGAGTACGTAAACCATTGCCCATAGCTCATCTGGTTGTTCTTGCTCACATCGTGCGTGTGCATTCACTGCTCAGTTCCTGGGATTGGATTGCGGGAATTCATTCAGGTCTTGGATAAATGACTGAAGTCGTTCTAAAGTAGTGAAATCATCAGATCAAGAGAAATAA